ACCGAAATCAGACTGCCTTCTCTGGACTGAACGAGAAGAACACACCGCTGAAGCCCCGGAGCTCAAACGTCCAACGTAAAACTAACTTTACCGCGGTTTAATGTGGTGCTATGTTTGATTAAGTTTGTTGTATTGTAGGTCGCGACTGAGCTTCCTCCTCTCGGTACAACGGCTCTGCAGACATTGCTGTCTTGTTTTGCGGTGTTTCTAGTGTAAAATACATCCACACAGCGGACATGTTTCCATGAAAAGTTGGTTAGCTGTTAGCCAAAGTGCTACTGCACGTTGTAGCTGGCTGCAAACTATGAAATGGATTTCCTGAATGTGAGGCGGATCTTATTACTCTGGGTTTCATGAGACACGCCTCTGTTCAGGAAATCCATTCCATAGTTTGAAACCAACGTGCAGAGCAGCTGGCAGGGAATCACGTGGAGACGTTTTACTTGGGGAGCCAGAGCCACGTCATGGATCAGAAATCTGCAGGTTGGATCGGAAAAATCCGATACGTAAATTATGCTGGTATCTGAGGCGATACGGATACTGGATTGGATCGGCCCTATTCCTAGTTTCAACTTTGAATTTTGGAGCTTCAACAAAACTGAGGTTTTTCCCCGACGTCAGTTTGTTAGCTTAGCACTTAGCTTAGCACGTAGCTTAGCAGCTTTTAATGATCCAAAATCGCGTTTTTGTATTGCTAAAAGTAGCTAAGATGAGAAGCTAAACTACAAGCTAAGCTAACAGGCCGAACTCGGTGGAAAAATCCTCAGTTTTTTCAAAGCTCCAAAATTCACAAGTTCAACCCGTGCCTTCATGTAAAACGTTGTTTTTCTCTGCAAAAAAGAAGCTGAGAACTTGTTTACTGATTTTTTTTTTTTTTTTATTAAAATCTTTGTGTAACAAATGCTATGCTAAAGAGCTCAAACCACACAGAGCGTCCGCCATTTTGAGAACCGAAGAGAGACAGCCCATGTCATGTCAAGGGGCCTCCCTCCCATTTTTTTTTAAAGAGACACACTGCTCGCTCCCTCACTATCCATCTTTCGGTTCAAACAGTCTTACGCTACCATCTGGTGGTCAAAAACAGTACTGCACACAAAATTAACCAACATTTCTTCTTAAATATGACAATAATTACTAATTATTGCCAAATTTCAAACAATATTATCGTTTATCGCAATAATTTCTGAGACAATTAATCGCCCAGCAAAATTAGTTATCGTGACAGACTTGGTTACCACAGCCCTCTGTGTGGAGCAGAGAGCTGCCATCTAGGGCGCCCGGGAGAGCAGATGGTGGGGGTTAAACAGAATGGGGCAAGTGAAGGTAGAGGAAGGTGTGAGTGTTTTCACCTTTTCTACTCATATTTTGATGTCAGTCCCGGGGAATTGAAACATCGACCTTCCAGTCACAGGCCCATTTTCTCTAACCTCTGCGCCACCACTCCCCTTATCTAATGAACTGTAGGTAATTATATATTTTGTTGAGGAACATTATTCTGAACTTGTTGCACTATTTTAAACGTTTCTTTCTCAGACTGGTGAACCCCTGCCCATTTTCACTTCTGTGAGTTTCATCTAAAATGCTCTCTTCTTTTTTTCTTTTTTTTTAATACTCTGCCCTCTCATTGACCTGTTCACAATTAATAAATTGTAGAAAATAAAATGCTCCTCCAGCGGTCCCCTGGAACAACAAAATTACGTTATTTTTCCTAAATATGGTTCAAATTTAAGTTTTAAACATTTAAAATGTGATTAAAAATGGGTTTGAGATTTGCAAATTGTTGCGTTCCATTTGTATTCACGTTTTCCACAGCGCTCCAACATTTTATTTTTTTTTATATCACAACAATGTTTCAAGTAGCAAACGTTGAATTTGTTCAAGACGTTGTTGCCTTTATGAGGAGATGACTGTTCCAATTCCAACCTTTTATTTTATTTTTATTTAATATTTTGTTCTGGATTTTGACCCTGCCACAGCGTGATCGGTGCGGCCGGTTCCCCTCCGTCCTCCCCTCCTCATTAGCTGACCTTAGAAGCCGCTGCAGCCACTCATGATGCCCCAGAGACGCCCCCTCAGTGTGTCGTTCAGTCGTCACACAGTAGATGTCAGTAGTTTGTGTGTGATCTTTGTCGTTACCGACCTCCAGCACTGGAAGGTGTTGAATTAGCTGCGACTGTGCTTTTGATCTGTGGGTCAGATGTGACTTCAAACTGAGTACATTTGAAGGTAAACAAATTGGATGGGGCACCTAAATTATTAAGTATTATGTACATCATATGCCCATTGAAGGGGGGGTACTGTCATGAGTCACATCCGACCCACGGCTGTTTTAGAAGTGATGCGTGGGAGGCGTCACCTTTTTGAGGTTGAGAGTCACCGCAGCAGGTTTGTTCTCAGCAGTAGCGATGTGTTTGATGTAATACTTCCTGAAACTGGAGGTTGTTTTACTTTTAAAATCACATCGATGTTCTGTTTTTTTTCCCCCTTCTCTTCTTCACCCATCCCATCTACGATCTTCATATCTTGCCATTCATTCATCTACTCCCTTTCTTGTTTTAATTTTTCCACCTCGCATCAATTCTTTTCTCTTCCCGCTTCAACCGCCTTCTTTGCCTCTCTGCATTGGTTTTACTTCCTCTTTTTCTCGCACCCCCCTCCTTTCCATTCCCCGTTCCTTCAGGCGTGTAAGCCCAACCACAGTGCGGAGGGTGGGGGCCAGTCTCTGCCCCCTCACGCGGGCTCGCTGGGCCAAGCAGACGATCAGTCCTGCCCAGCCAAGAGGAGGAGATCCGCCAGTCCTGCCAAGGTAAACGCGCCACTAACCGAGTCATGCCCGCACTACGGTCCGCCCCTTCAGTTACAAGTATCCGTCGTGTTGGTTGTCTCCATTTGCGGAGCAAAGCGTGAACTTGAAAGAGACCCTCCGTCGGTCTTGCAATCAGAGCTGGAAAACTTTGATTTTAGTGTGTGGCTTCATCTAGGCATAAGAACATTTACTATCGAAACTGGGCTGCCACAAAAATCCAAGATGGCCACCACCATATATACGTAAACCTAGTGAGCTGGAGAACTTGAAAAATGCGTAACGGGCCAGCTTCCATTTTGGTGTGCGACTGGATCTAGGAAAGTCACTATTGGAAACTGGTTTCTACATCAAAATTCAAGATGGCCACCACTATATACATTTACCATATTTTTCGGCCTATAAGTCGTAATTTTTTCATAATTTACATGCCCTGCGACTTAAACGGCGAAGCGACGTATTTATGGATTTTTCCACTTTATTAGACATATTTGGACTGATGCAACTTAGAGTGCGGAAAATACGGTGTATATAAACAAACCATCCAGCTACCTATGCTTTAAACTATGCTTTTTAGCTTTCATGTTGCTTACAAGTATAGATGTTAGAGTTGCTGGTGGAGTGGCCAAAGATTAATCTATAGTGGTCAAGGCCACCAATGGCCACCCCGTGGCTATGGCTCTGCGCCTAGTATTGGATAAAATCCCTCCCTCCGCATCACTCTGCACCTGCTCGACCAAGAAAAACAAAACATCTACCTCTGTTATTCTACACTCTGGAACTTCTACCCACTCAAACATCTTGCACCAAAAACATTTAGGTTCACCATATTTTCCGCCGTACACATTGCTCCGCCCTACAAGTCTCATCAGTCCATATTTGTCTAATAAAGTGGAAAAATCCATAAATATGTCTCTTCGCCGTATATGTCGCATGTATTATGCGTCACCGCTGACGACCCGGAAACGTGGGCCGGTGTTGTGCCAAAAATCGATTGGCTGCCAAATGGCGTCCGCTGGGGTGTGCACAGGAGGACTTTAACAAGAATTTAACAAGATTAACACTTAAAACCAATTAGTTTGCTCGACATAGTAAAGGTGTGTCTCAGTTGAACTTTTACTTAATAAATGCACTTCAATGGTCAAATTAGCTGCATTTCACCGGGGCGGTGCAGCGAAATGAAGCTGGTTTGACGGTTGCTCCAAGCAGCGAGCGGAACGAAGGTGGACGATTGTGGCAGGCCGATTGTGTCACTAATAGCTGGTGAAGATTCTTGGTCATCCAGGACAGGATAAATCCAAAAAAGTTCAAGACAAAAACAATAAAGTATAATAAAGTCCAGTTGTTTTTGTCTTGAACTTTTTTGAATGTCATTAATACTGTAGCTACTTTTACCCATTACATGATACATCGGCATGCCATACTACTCTGCTGCCATCTAGTGGTTGAAAAAATGGAAGTGTTAAATTTTTTTCAGTCAGAATGAATGAATACGGTCATCTCTCAGCCAAAAATTGGTTTATAAATATGGGATAAAATCCATAAATACGTCGCTTCGGCCTGTAAGTCGCAGGGCGTGCAAATTATGCAACAAAAACCTGCAACTTATAGGGCAAAAAATACGGTACATGAGCTGCTTTTTTATTGATAAGGGTGACTCCACTCGGCTCTCGTCTTGTCGGTTCTTCTCAGCTGTTGATTTGCCGCTGTGACCTGTTTCTCCACTCTGGGCAGGATCGTCATTGCGAAGTATACCGATTTACCATCGCCAGTTTGAGCCACTCCGCCCGTTGTGGTCATTAATCGGACTTCTATAAGTCTGGGTGTAGCCACGCTGCGCCATCGTCTCCTGTATCTCTCTGTAAATGCGCTCTTTCCTTGTGGCACCGTCCAGCTCACGACAAATCCGAACATCGGCCGATAACGTTAGGAATGTCTGTACCTCATCATTGGTCCACAGCTCTATCTTTGGACAACTTCAAGACTCGGTCAGAGGAAACGGAGGTTCAGATGTAGTTTTACTGGGCGGGTCATTCAGTGACGTAGCTCCGCTGGCCAGTCAACGGCTTACGCCAAAATCGTAACCTCGGAGCAGTCTGCTTGGAATCACGATTAAGATGGTCCCATAAACCAGGCTGAGTGGGGGTGGTACTGGCAGTGGGGGGGGGGGGCCTTAACTGGTGCGGTGCAGAACCAGTGAGAGTTGAGACGGTGGAAAAGCGCCTTTAGAAAAACTGCAAACCTTCACAGATCCGGATTACCTCTTCTTGTTTAATACAATGATGTGTTTTCCTCAGAGCGATTCTTGGAGCAGTAACCCGCCACAGCAGCCAGCACCCAGCTGGTACCTCTCCCCTCAGAAACTACAGGTCAGTCATTTCTTTCTGTAAATCTGAGCTGTAGCCGTTTTTGTATGTGGTTCAGTGTCTTAAGTGAAATTAAGTTGAGCTAAAAGGGCAAAAGAATGTTTTGTCATCTGAGCTCAGATCCTCCCGTTTGTCCTCAGGCGCTGGAACAGCTGCGGAATAACCGAGCCAACCTGAAGCCCCCACAGCTGCAGATGTTGGAGCAGCTGGAGTCTCAGCTTGCCGTAATGCAGCAGCACCAGGTGAGTAAAGAATGCATCGAAGACCCCCCCCCCCCCCGAGTCTGAGGCTCCTTTACTCATTTTCACCTTTTTACGGTTCTTATAGATGAAGCAAAATGCCTCAGGAAGTCAGGTGCGCCCCACTTTCCCCAACGGTCCCATCTCCAATGCCCTCCCCTCCCCCAGTCCCAGCCTCCACCCCGCACGACCCCACCCGGGACCCTACCGGCACCTTTGCCCGCCTCAGCCGCTAGCCAACGGGCCCGTGGGCTCCAGGCCACACGGACACTCGGACTCTGCGGGCGTCAGTAGTAACAGTAGTAATAATCAGCCCACGGCCACCGGACCCAACAGAGACGTGCCTTACCCGCAAGCTGCCGGCAGCGGCAACGCAGCACTGCTACCTCACTCCTGCACAAGCACGCAAACACAGGACGCCACGCCACACCAGGCCCTGCACCTAAACTCCTCTCAGGTCAGATCCTGTTTCAGTTCATAAACATTTTCGTCTTAGAAGTTATTTAACAGTGAATACCAGACTGTGTGCTTCCCAAACCTTTAGGGCTCCTGAACCACAACATGATCGGCTTGTGACGCCATCTTTTACTAGTTTAACGTACAGCGATTGCTAAAAACCCATACGGCCTTAATGACAACGTAATGTCCATAATATCCATCCATCCATTATCTTCTGCTTATTCCAAAGTCGGGTCACTTGGGCAGCAGCCTGAGCAGGGAGGTCCAGACATCTCTTTCCACAGCCACCTCTTCCAGCTCTTCTGGGAGGATTCCAAGGCGTTTCCAGGCCAACCGAGACATAGTCTCTCCAGCATGTCCTGGGTCTTCCCCGGGGTCTTCTTCCAGTTGGACATGCCCGAAGCACCTCCCTAGGGAGGCGCCCAAGACGCATAATCAGGTCTCTTGTAAATGAGTCCTCGAGGCTCAATGGGCTCTACCTGTCTAAATAAAGGTTGAATCCTTACCAGATGCCCGATGACTACCATACTGGGTTTTTTTCAAGTTAAGGTATAATCTGCACCATTACCAGGAATTATTGTAATTATATGTCCATTGAGCGAATGTATTGGTCTCCACTGTTTCCCATACCTTTATCCAAGGAGGGCGCCCCACCCTGTCAACAGAACAGAGTGCCCCGCCTACTGAAATTGTCCTCCACCCACAACCCCACCCCCCGTACACAACATTCTCACACACATCCCCCCCACCCCCAAAACACTGGTCTTCCTCTGTCTGTAAACTTTGGCTTGTAAAACTTCCAGGTTAGCTTCAAGGTCAACGTTAAAACGAGGTCTTTTGCTTGTCTGGACCATAACTTCTGATCTGCTCAAGATAATTTACTGAAAGATGATACGATTTTGTACCACCACTACACTGCTTGTTGCGTATGTTTTCATAGCACCAGCTTTAAGGTCAAAGTTTTAAGTAGGTATTTGCTCGTCCGCATCATAGTTTCTTATCCGCTCATGATAATTTTATTGAAATTTTATACACACGTGCATCATGTAGTGTATGTTTTTAATCACCCCAGCTTCAAGGTCTCAAATCAAGGTCAACGTCAAAACGATGTATTTGCTTGTCTCGATCTTAACCTCCAATCTGCTCAAGATAATTTACAGAAACATGTTATTTTGTACCATCACTACACTGCTTGTTGCGTATGCTTTTCATAGCACCATATCGAAGGTCAAAAATTAAGGTCAAAGTTTTAACTAGGTATTTGCTCGTCCGTGTCCGCTCATCATAATTTATTGAAACTTCATACACGCATAGCTCATCACTGGACTATCGTGTTTGCTTTCGTCACCCTAGATTCAAGGTCACATATCAAGGTCAACGTTAAAACTAGGTCTTTTGTTGTCCAGATCATAGTTTCTGATCAGCTTATGATAATTTATTGAAACTTCATACACACATGCATCATCACTGGACTGTCATGTTTGCTTTACATCACCCCAGATTCAAGGTCACAAATCAAGGTCAAATGTTAACCTTTGACGACTGGCGTATAATGTGCCGTATGCGGTACTCTTGTTACATTGAAGTCTAAATCTAGAGATTATCTTAAGACCCACACTAACTGTTGAACACCGTTTCCTTCAGGGGCTTCAGAAGGAGTGTGTTCCCCATGCGGCAAGCTCTAACACTGAGGGGCCCCCCTCTCAGCCTCAAACCCCCAACTCTGCCGCTCACCCCAGCAATCAGGTTGGACATTCCACGAACGCCCTGTCGTCATGGCAGCAGCCTCACAACCACCTTCCCTCGCCACCCTCCCTCCCTCTCGCCTCTACCTCAGGTGGTGCTGGACCCAACACGTCCACTACCAAAGATGGCAACACCGCAGCCATGACCCTTGGAAACGGGGGCTCAGGCGACAAGACGCCGTTGCCGCCGCCATCCGCCGATGGCAAACAGGTGCAGGCAGACGGCCTAGCCAATCACGTCCACTCTGGGGATGGTGACAAGGTGGCAGAAGGTGACGAAAAGCCAAGCCTTAGCGCAGACAATCCCAGGCTATCTGCCCTGCTGGCGGGGGGGAAGGGCCCAGAGGAGAGCGAGAGATCGTCAGCAGGGACGGCATCCACAGAGTTCCAGAAGAAGGTCAACAACATCCACCCGGCCGTCCTCCCCTCTGTTCCTCAACCGCAAGGAAGCTCAGCTGCCTCCACGGTCACGTCACACAAATCTTCTGAACACACCCAAACGGGCACCCACAGTCCCCTCAACGCCACATCCACCGCGCCTGCCGTCAACGGAAATGGCAAAGGGGGCATCTCCGAGGACTCCCAAAGCCCTCTGAAGGCTGAGCCGCCCGCTCTCACAGGTCTTAAAGCGACGCCCCCACACGGACACAGCTCATCCTCGTCGTCGTCCTCCATATCCATCTACCCCAGCTCCACAGACGTTCTGAAGGCCTGCAGGTGAGGCTGAAACGCACTGTCACCACGATCCGGCCGTGTTCAGTCCCCCTCAGAATGAGAATCCTTTTTGGCGGGGACGAGTACATTTAATTAGAAATTCAACTAACGTCCCTGATTTTGTGAAGTATACATAAAAGGGTTGCAGTAACTGGTTTCTTGTTTAGTTTGTTAGAACATCAAAGTAGTTTGTTTTGAACAGGTCGCCCCCCAGTGGCGATAAAGTGCAATTACAGAGCAACCAACAAATTATTATGTAACCATCGACAACACCGAAGGCTACTGGGCCATGTTGTTGCCGTGCAGATTCCTCTCGGCAGAATAGATTGCCCTGTTGTAATATTTTCTCTGTTTAAATATAATAAATCCTGCGTTGCTGGCAGGAACCTGGGGAAGAACGGGCTGTCAAACAGCAGCATCCTCCTCGATAAGTGCCCCCCACCCCGGCTGCCACCACCTCCCTCGCCAGCCCTGTCCAAAGATAAGCTGAACCCTCCCACACCCAGCATTTACGTAAGCAGACAAACTTTAGCGTTTAAGCTTGAGGAGGTCTAAAACCCTTTAACCATTCCTGTTTCCGTTTTCTTAAACCAGCTGGAAAACAAGAGGGACGCTTTTTTCCCACCGCTGCACCAGTTCTGCACAAACTCCTCCAACCCCGTCACTGTCATCAGAGGCCTGGCTGGAGCTCTCAAACTGGGTAAGTGCTCAGTTTGGGTTAACTTCCCCTTCTTCTCGTTGTAAGTTGTTTTATAATAAACCGTTTTCTACCTCTTCGTTGTCAGACCTGGGTCTGTTCTCCACCAAGACGCTAGTTGAGGCCAACCCGGAGCACCCGGTGGAGGTCTGGACGCAGCTCTTGCAGCCGGCGGACGAGAACTGGGACCCGACCGGCGCAAAGAAAATGTGGCGCTGCGAGAGCACCCGCACTGTCACCACCATCGCCAAATACGCCCAGTATCAGGCCGCGTCCTTCCAGGAGTCCTTGAGGGTCCGTTACCCTTCGCCTGATTTTGTCTAGATGGGTTATTTTAAAGTTTAATTATTTTTTTATTGTTTAATTTCAGGAAGAGAATGAAAAGAAGGCACTAAAAGAGCCTTTGGACACAGACCCATCATCAGCGGACAGGTACTTTATGCTCTTTTGGACTTTTGGAAAAATCGTTGTGCCTTTTGCTGATGGTCTTTTTGTGTTCCAAGTGCTGCGCGAAAAAGAAGAGGACCTTTAAAACACATCAAATTTGGAACCAACATTGACGTTTCAGATGAAAGAAAGTAAGTCTGAGCTTAATGTTTTTTTATACGCTCGTCTGAAATACGTATTATAGTATCATCTACGTACATATGTACGCAACGTTCTTGTCTGGGTCATAACTTCTGATCCACTCGAGATAATTTAATGAAACTTCATACACATAGGCACCATCACTAGACGAAGTGTCCTGTACACTTTTCATCACCTCAGTTCCAAGATCAAAGTCACAAATCAAGGTCAGATTTATTCAAGACCTTTGCTTGTCTGGACGTGTCATGAAGAGCATCCGGCGTAAAAACAATTGCCAAATTTTAATGCGAGTTTGTTCGCTGTGGCTGCCCCTGAAAGACAACAGCCATTAAAAATAAAAAATGACTTGTAGCATAATCTTTTCATCACCCCAACTTAAAGGTCAAGGTCATAAATCAAACTCAAAGGCTATACGAGGTCTGCTTGTATAGGTTATTGCTATAGATGGCTATATAAGACTAGTGTATAAGGTATTACTTGCAGGACTTTAGACTTGTCTTCTGATCTTTAAAAAGTATTGTTTTTTTAATTTCTGCTCTTTGGTTTGTTGCTTTGCGCTCCCTGCCAGGTGGAAACAGCAACTGCAGGAACTCAGCAAACTGCCGGCCTTCGCGCGAGTCGTCTCTGCTGGTAACCTGCTCAGCCACGTGGGCCACACCATCCTGGGGATGAACACGGTCCAGCTCTACATGAAGGTGCCCGGGAGCCGGATCCCCGGCCACCAAGAGCACAACAACTTCTGCGCCGTCAACATCAACATCGGGCCCGGCGACTGCGAGTGGTTCGCCGTGCCGGAGCCGTACTGGGGAGTGATGAGCAACTTCTGCGAGAAGTAAGATTTACTCGCTTTGCTTCGCCTCCTCACATGGATGCTCTTTAATGTCCTTTTCTGTTTGTTTTCCAGGAACAACATCAACTTCCTGATGGGATCGTGGTGGCCCAATCTGGAGGACCTATACGAGGCCGATGTGCCCGTTTACCGCTTCATCCAGCGTCCAGGTGATTTGGTGTGGCTCAACACGGGAACTATCCACTGGGTTCAAGCTATCGGCTGGTGCAACAACATCACCTGGAACGTTGGACCTCTCACCGGTACGCTGGGAGCTATAGGATGAGTTCATGCTTCAGATAGTCTGCTCACTTCACTGGTTTCACCTGTTTGTTTTTTTTATTTATGCCTGTCAAAAATATATGTTAGTATTGTCTTTGTCTGTAAACTTTCAAAGGTCAAGGTCACCAAAAAAGGTCAAAGATAAAATAATGGCTTTGTTTGTCCCACCCATAAGTTCTGATCTGCTGAAGATGTTTTAAAGAACCTTGTTACACATTTGTAGCACTACTAGGCACCATGTCACAAAACTTATATTGCCCAAGCTCCATGTCAAGGTCACAAATCGGGGTCAAAGTTAAAACCAGGCTTTTGCTTGTCAGGACCAAAACTTTGCATCCATTCGAGACAATATACCAAAACATGAAATTACTGTACCACCACTTGTCGGCTTGTCGTGTACACTTTTCCTCACACTGGGGTCAAGGTCACACATCAAGGTCAAAGTTAGTCAAGTTTTTGCTTGTCAGTACTGTAACTTCTGATCCATTTGAGACAATTTACCAAAATATGAAATGACTACTACCACTAGTCGGCATGTCATGTACACTTTTCATCATACTGGGATCAAGGTCACAAACGAGGTCAAAGTTTAAACCAGGTTTTTGCTTGTCAGTACAAAAAGTTCCGATCCATTTCAAACAATTTACCAAAATGTAAAATGACTACCACCACTAGTCGGCAAGTCATGTACATTTTTCATGCACTGGATTGAAGGTCAAGGTCACAAATCAAAGTCAAAGTTGTCTTGTGCATAACTTCTGATCTTCTCAAGATAATTTAACATTATGCACATTTGTACCGCCACTAAATGTCGTGTAATTTTTATCAAGGTCACAAATCAAGGTCAAAGTTATGCAAGGTCATTGCTTGTCATGCAAAACTTCTGATCTTAAGATAATTTAGCAAACATACACATTTGTACCACCACTATGCAGCGTGTCATGTAATCTTTATCAAGGTCACAAATCAAGGTCAAAGTTTATAAAAGGTATTTTTCTTGTCCAAGCCATTGCTATTGATCACTTTGTATAATGTGCCATCTGTGGTACTCCTGTTTTTTGTTCCAGCCCACCAGTACAAGCTGGCTGTGGAGCGTTACGAGTGGAACAAACTCCAGAGCGTCAAGTCCATGGTTCCCATGGTGCACCTCTCCTGGAACATGGCACGCAACATCAAAGTGTCTGACCACAAGCTGTTTGAGATGATCAAGTGAGACACCCTTAGCTTCCTGCTGTCCGTGGACTGTTTTTGAGTCGAACACTTATGGTGGCCCTCTTCATTGTAGGTACTGCCTGCTGCGGACGTTGAAGCAGTGCCAGTGGGTGAAGGAGGCCTTGGTGTCGGCCGGGAAGGAGACGGTCCTGAGGCCGAGGAGCAGGGACGAGCCAGCCCACTACTGCACCATCTGTGAGGTTGGTCAACCCACCGGGAACATTTTAGCTTCTGGGTGTCCGACTTAAGGGCTAAAAGCATCTGTCCATGCCTGTCGCTTCTGTCTTGCAACAACTGACCATTTAAAAACGAGAGAAATTACATCTACATTTACAAGAAGCTGAAACTTAAGTTGTTTGGGTGATAACAAGCCAAAAGGAGCAAACTAGTAGCTAAAAGTAGCACAAGTTAGGTTAAAGTGTACTGAAGCAGATTTTTGACTGTTTGGATAGACATCTCAGTTCGTTCCTGTCCACAGCTATCAGCATCTATAACAACTCTTGAATGAAACCAGGATGATGAGCTACGACAACACTTAAATTCCCTTCGGGATTAATAGTGTTTTTGAATTGAATTGAATTTCTATGGGTACTTTTTTTTTTATTGAATTAAATACTTTGTCTAAAAGTTGCACAAGCCAAAAACTAAAGCACCCGTCAGCTAAATTAGCCGAACGTTTTGATATAAGAATGAACTGCAAAAAATAGTTAAAAAACTACAGCATTAAAATGGCGTAAATGCCAAATCAACGCTAAGGGAAATAATTGTTTTGAGACTTCACTTCTTTGCCAAAGACAGATTTTCTGTAAATAAATGAAAAAGTTTTTGTTCTCCATCTTGCAGCAAAGAGGGGAAATACTTTCCATCTGGTACAAATTTTGAGCTGGATAAGTTGAACAATGAGTGAAGTGCTGACTTTGTTTCACTGTGTGGCTGCAGCTAGGCTTTAGAAAGATCACCGTAGAAAATTGGGTTGCCACGTCAAAATCCAAGATGGCTGCCGCCATAGATATATGTAAATCAACTACCCCAATCATTTGAGGAAACTATGCTTTCTAGTTTTTATATTGCTTAAAAGTATAGTTTCTTCAAATGATTAAGGTGGCCCACAATCTATTGCAGGGTTCCCAACCATGGTCCTTGAGGAACGCCATCCTGCATGTTTTAGTTGTTTCCCTGCTCCAGCACACCTGATTCAGGGATTTAATTACTTCAAGTAATGCAGAAATCTGATAATCAACCATTCACTCAAATCAGGTGTTAGAAACAACTAAAACGTGCAAGATGGTGTTCCTCAAGGACCAGGGTTGGGAACCACTGATCTGTTGTAGCCAAGTCCACCATTGGCCACCCGTAGCTCCGCCTCTGCTGGTGGATAAGATGTCTCCTCCACTCACCAGGATCCGTCACTCTGCTGCCTCTGACAAACAAAACCAAAAACTCCCTCTGTTCTACAGAGAGTAATAGAATTCACTTGAATATTTTGCACCAAAAACAATTTAGGTTTACTTCGTTCTCTGTTCCGTCCAGAAAAACACTCGTATCAAAAACTACAGACATTCACAACAGGGGACGTTAAGATTTTAAAATGTCTGCCTTCTGGCGGAGGGGCAATGATGATGGACGTTTGACAATCGTAGTCATATTAAGACATCTCGTTAGTCTCTCAACGTCCAATATTGCCAAGTTATGGTAACGTTGTTTTAATGTTTTTTCCAGAGTGGTGCTTCCATCTTGTAAATTTTTGTTCTTGAGTGTTAAAAACGTCCGAAATGCTGAGTCTGGAATTTCAAACTGGATAAACGTAGGAACCTTATATATAAATGAGAGGTTGGATTGGCTGAATTAAAAGGAGACATAGTTTCGGTTGTCTCTTAATGCAGTGGTTCCAAACCCCGCTCCCTGAGGAACGCCATCCTGCATATTTTAGTTGTTCCTCTGCTCCAACATGCCTGATTTGAATGAAAGGTGATTAACAGCTTCTGCCGAACTTGAGGAAGTAATTAAACGACTGATTCAGGTGTGTTGGAGCAGAGGAACAACTAAAACATGCAGGATGACGTTCCTCAAGGACCAGTGTTGGGAACCAATTCAATTCTAACAAACGGGTGCATTAACACATTTTATTTGAGCGAAGCCCTTCGGCTGTGTTACGTCACTACATCAGCGCTGTAGTTGTTCGTTAGCCACCTTTCGGCTCAGCGTTTTGTTTCTGGTTGCAGGTGGAAGTGTTCAACCTGCTGTTTGTGCGCCGGGAGCACCTTTCCAGGAAGCAGTGCGCAGTCCACTGCCAGGACTGCGCCCGCAAAGGCAGCGCCACGCTGGACGACTTCGTGGTGCTGGAGCAGTACCGGATGGAGGACCTGATGCAGGTCTACGACCAGTTCACATTAGTAAGCGTTGAACCTGTAAATAAATAAAACACGACCTTTATCAGCCCAGGTGTATCTGATTTGTCTTGTTTGAACTCCTCCCCCTCCCCAGGCCCCTCCTCTTCACTCATCTTCATCTTGACATTAGGCGTCTCCTCAGCCACCGTCTGTTCCGGAGCCATGAAGCCCATCGTGTTTTAAGACCCAAATTTAAAAAAAAACACACGGACCGTTTCTGATATTCAGGAAAAGCCAAGGCCGTCTCCTCTTCTTCCCCACTCCATCACAAACTCCCCTCCATTATGGCTGGTCTCCATAGCAACGGCTGGAGGCCTAGCGCTTGTCTATGCAACCTATCCGAAGCACCGGGGGCCTTCCAGAAGAGGGCGCCACCTGGCTCCATAACGGGACATTTCTCTAGAGACGATGTTCCACCCTGTTCTAATGGAGGACTTAATCAAATACGGTTGGGTAGGAGGGAGGGCGGAGCTTAAAGGGTGATTAAATCGTTTTGTAGATAACTCGTTAACTGTCGCAACCCGTGAAAAGACTACTGACTCTGTCGCTCCCGTTCTTTCCTCCTTGGTTTTTATTTTTTGTAATATTCTGGTAACAGGATGAAATGTTTTCGTGGAGCTCCTCCAGATTTTTTTTTTTTTTCCTGTTCTGTCCTTTTAAGGAGCACTAGCCTAACTGGTCCTTTTCTACAGTAGATGAGACATTTTTTTAAAAACTCTTTGGACATTAAAATAAAATAAAAAAAGAAAAGAAAAAACGTTTGTAATGTGAAGAGGTTGGGTAGTTTTTCTTCTGTTTTAACAGCTTTTTATGTTTGAACTCTTTTGTCTTGTTCTCTGCAAAACTGATGTATTTGTTTCTTAGGTTTAAAAAAAAAAACTTAGCCAAGTTACAAGGAAAATGGGTTGCACATGCGAAAGTTTAATTTGTTTTTATGTTTCTAATCTTGATGTAAATTTACACTATTTATAAATACATATTTATTGCTTGGAAATATTTGTCGATGGAATGCTGTTATTTTTTTCCAGAGTACCTGCCATTAAAATTGAGGGGTTTTTGTCATTTTAACACGACCCCTCTTACATTTTCTATATATATATAAATATATATATATATAAATAAAATTGCTTAACAAGCATTGTACAGAAACAGACATTTAAAATTGTTTTATTGTTTGACGAATGGTTTATGAGGTAATAAACACAAAGTTGTCAAATTATTCATGCTTTTTTTTTTTCCTCCTTTCTTTAATACAGTAAATCACCCAATACGTATATTGGACGTAAGAAAATTGGTGATTTTGATAAAAAGCCTGAAACCCAGCAGACAATGTAGCTGTAGACCGACACACAGAATCCTACACTGTATGCCAGGTCCAGAACTTCTCCAGGTTCAGTTTAATACAAGAAATACATTCAGAGTACCCTGTTCCTTGAACGTGGACGATGGTCCAAATCGTCATCCGGTGGTATATCTAGGCATCAGCGGAGACCCAGTAGCCAGATGTAGCTGCTGCCAGCCCCACAGGATCTACACTGACTACTGAGCAAACGCTGGGCACCCGGTGGTTCAGCGGCTCCGCTCCGAGCAGTAATGAGCGGGTAAAGCGACTCCATAGCCAAAGCTGATGCGGTACAGTGGTGGTGTATACGGTTCACATAATGCAAGAAAAAGCAACATTTAAAAATTTTCTTTAAAAGCAATTCAACACAAACACATTTTGTTCCCACCTTCACCCGTAAAAACCATCCGATTTCCGTTTGCTGGCAAGGTGTGAGAAAGTTGTTTACTGCTGCAGCTCCGCGGGTCTTATTAAATCAGTCCTACTGCATCCCAGGTGACGGTACAGTTCTTGAGGTTACTGCGGAGATATTTTTTTATTTAACGGGATCTGAATTTTCTAAGACGAGAGAACAGCTTTCTAAGGCGTACAGCACTTTTGAGTTGGCGTGGTTGCAGAGGTTTTCTTGACCCCGACCAAATAATGAAGACCAATCATCTCTTTGAACAGGCCAGGAACAAAGATTGTAAGGTGGTTGATGGAGTTGTGAAAAAATAAATCTTTAAAAATCTATGGGCGCTCTAGTGAAGTAAATGCCACGAACATGGGGGGCCTGCCATACAATCGGCAACTGAACAAAGAAAAACCCTATAAGGATACGGAAAACGTGTTCCCCCAAACCTCTTGGGGTTTGCAAACTCTATATTGCAATACTCTTGGTATGGCTTGTCAGTTCTTCACGATCGTGATGGTATTTCTACATTAATTTAAGACAACTGCATTGTTTTCCCTTTTTTTTACGACGGTTCACCTCTCATTCTTTGCTTAGATTAAGGGTTGGTAGTTCTAGGTTAATGAGTCTTGTTGGGGGCACTAATGGGGTTGTTAACGTCACGAGTCGGTTGACAAACCCGTCCATTCTGGAACATTTGGGTCACTGTCCCTTGTTAACTCTTTAACCAGAGGTGAAAAAGACTTGGGACGAGACATGACGTGTATCCTGCAGGTTTGAGATGTTCCTCTGCTCCAACGCACCTGATGTGAATCAATCGGTGATTAACAGACTTTTGCAGAACCTGAGGATCTGCTGAAGAGCAGGGTAACAACTAAACCATGCAGGACAGCGGCCCTCGGGCACCAGGACCGAGGACTACTGGTCTACCGGAAACAGAAAAGAAGGTTTGGTTGCATTGTCATGAACTCTTACTGACTTTTAGCATTTAGCTAACACAGTTCAATGGTGATTGGCGCCATTTAAATGTCTTGGAAGGAACGAGTTAAACCCTAAAGACCTTTATCCATGTTGGGCGCTGTGGTGCAACTAAACTTTGGAAAACACCAGCTAAAGCTAGCTAGCTAAACTGCTTTAGCTGGAAGGTTTTGTAGCTAGTTAGCTGCTTATTAACAACTTCGATGCGGTCAACTCTTAAGGTATTTTCTTTGTTTCATATTTTGCGACTCTTAAATAAAAGTTTTGCTTCCTTTTTTAAAGTTTTTAACAATGACCGGTTCTTGGGGGGCATGTTAGCGGTTAGCTTTAAAATTAGCCTCACAGAGCTGCTAGCATGGCTTTTGTTGATGTACAGTTCACAGTTTTGACATTTATAATTATTTTACACATGAAGCACATGCAGGAAACAATTTTGACTCCATCTCCTTCTGTGACTTTTAGGTGTTTCTGCTCCTGTGGTGAACACAAGATGGCCGACGGGCCCAGGACAGCGTTGGCTTTTGATGGCTGCAGATGCGGGACTTCTTCAGCGACTCCTCTGAAGACTCTGACTTTTAATCACACCCCGACAGTTTGCCCTGGAATAAAAAATAAATTTAAAAAAAGAACGTAAAGGTAAGAAGTGACTGTAAAACTGCACAAACCGACAGCGTGAATGAAACGTTTCTAGACGGGGTTTGCGTTTTTGCCGCTTTTCTCAAATATTTTTGCCTCTGCGCCCACAAGCACTTTCGCTTCAGTGGAAACGCAGGGGAACCGAATCAAGTGCGGGCTGAGAAGTGGTTCTAGGAAACCGTATGGCAGTTTTGACGCAAACGCCAGTTAAGACGACGAAGGCTTCCTGTCGGTTGACAACAAAGGCAGGAAACTTGAGTTTTGCGATACAGTGACAACGTGTTGTACGGGAGGGGAGGAAGGAGGCAACTGGCAGATCGGATGTGTAATTATTTGGAACATGTGTGTATTCTGAAGTTCTGCCAAGCCTAGAAAGGGTTTCAATGGGTCCTGCGCCCAAAGTGTTGGCGTTGTTTCCTCTCTTCTTTCTATACATCCCACCTATGTGTTCTGTGAAATCTTGGCAGTGCTCCAGTGGAGTGGTATGTGAACTCCACTTGGCCTGGACCACCAACCCCCCGCCTGCCATCCTTAAATCCCAACCTAACAATGTCTGCCTGTGTCGCAGTGAGGAGGGGTGGGGGGAAGAGAGGCACGAAAGGAGGAGTTAAACCAGCAGAGTAATCAGTGCTCTCCATCCTGTTTCCTCCTTTTTTAATTTTTCTCCCTCCATTCGTCCTGTTTCCGCCTTAATGCAAGAGGTACACAGGTGGTCCGGACGGCTAATTTTAACCTGGATTGTTTCCCACAGCTATGTATAGACATCTGCAACAAACCAAGTAGGTCGGTGTGGATGTCTCCGGCGCAGACACGAGGGCCTGACCTCGAAAATTGCTCAACTTGTCCATTCATCCACTCCCACCTCGGCTGCTGACGATCGTCACCGATTGGCTGCCGCTCTCAGCCAATAGCGACGCTCTGTGCTGCCCATTCATAAAACCCAGGGTCATTGAAGATAATGTGGTATTAAAGGCACGTGTAAGGAGGAAGGGGTGGGGGGTGCGCTGTTTAGTTTGCACACCGCCGTATATACCACAAAGCACGGTGAGGGAAAAACAAACTGTTGCATTTCCGGCACATTTTGAACGTTTACAAACTTGCCCTTCAAGGATGCAATGGTTTCACGTGAAAAACCCAAGATTAATCCTGCTCATAAAGACATGGCATTCCTGTGCGTTTAATAAGTAATCCACAACCACTCATACTATCACAATCTAGCTTCTTTTTTGTCGTTTTCCTCACTCTCGGACTCTCCATCTTGAAGGGTTTTTTTGGTTCCCTTGTTATTGCCCCTCATTCCAAAGTCTGCCACTTCCAGGGTTTTTTTTTTATATAGAAATGTGCGCCCGTCTCTCACTCGTTCACACTAATGAAACGTCCCCATTCAGGGCAGGAAAGGCTTTTCTATTGATCAGTTAATCAATAACGGTTTGTGGTCTCTTGTAGAGCCTGGAAAGCACGTAATAAATCAGAGCGGTTTGTAAAAGAAGCCCTTCAAATCTTAACACAGGTCGCCAACAAACCAAGAAGGGTCAACGCCAACGTTTCAACGTCTCAATCGCTACAAAACTGACCCCAACAGTTAATCAGTTGTGGAATAATAAAACATGGAAGGGAGGGAAAGACTCAAACGGTGAAGTAAAAATCCATTTTTTTGTGTTTTTTGTATCTAAACCTGAAACTGAAACTGGATTGCAAATGGAAAATTGCCGCGTCCAGTCGATGGAAGTTTCGTGAAACGGAAAAACCAAACTGGTTGGTCTTTCGAGGAGCCACTCCGTCCGACTCGGCGGCGTTTGCGACGGGGCCGTCCAAGAGGGAGCGCACAAAATGAGGAAGAGGGTTTGACTCGTTTCTATGGCAACGGCGAGTAATTAGCACAGAGAACAGGACGGAGATGGAACGTGGCTTTTTTTTTGTGTGTGTTTTTTGTGCATGAGTGGGATGTTGGCCTGCTTTCAGATGAGCAGCAGGGAGGAGGAGGAGGAGGAGGAGGAGGAGGAATTCACAGCACAGGTTTCAGGTGTCGCCACAGACAACAACTTCCCCTCATGTGTTGGCTCCGACCCTCACCTACGAGTTTGATTAAGAAATTAGCAGTTTTCCTCTCTCTTGCACGAGGAGAGCCAGATTTCCTCACTGCTGTTCCCCTTCCCCGCACCTCCTCCTCCCGAGCCTCCCCGGCATGTTTACACAGAGACTGCGAGGAGGAAAGCTGGGTTCAGCTGTTGATCTGGATCATGCTGCTACAGTCCCTCGTGTTCAGCGGATGTGCCTGTCCATCTGTTGGTCATGTGACGCTCGTTTTCTGACAAAAACGGCACAAAGGGCGCATTTGAGCGAAGATTCACTTTCGAGTTTGTGGACATCTTCTCTAATTTGCCCACAATTAACGAACGCTGACGTTGTAACAGTTTCCAGAAAGAATTGACGCTTTATTTGCAATGGTACTGATCACTTTCACAGCACGCTGTGAGTCCAGAACTCAACACTTGACCCCTAAGACTTGACTTGGACCTCTTCGATAAGTCGCCCCATCGCCCGACAACATACCCAGCCCAAAAGAAAAAGGAACAATTTCTTCTAAGACAATGCCTTAGCACATTTCCACCCACTCCACATACAAACATCAAAAACGCCCACACATTCGGAGCAGTATTCGCCCCCCTCCTGTTCATCAAGCGTCAAACCTCCATCTCTCTCGTCTGCCACAGTTAATGGCAGCCAGGAGCCCACCAGCGCTTATATGCTAAGAACAATTATGCAGATGTGTGCGCTAAAACCACTTTGGTGGTATAATCCAACAATCAGTCCATTATAGTAATTGTCG